ATATAAAATTAATGCCATATTTCGTTGTAATTTTAAAACTCAAGAACGGGCTCACATATCCAAACCAAATGTTTAGGCTTTGTTCGGACTATTTAGTAGATAGTTTATGTGAAGTTTGCACAAAATCGGTCGAGCGGTTCTTTTATCACATTTTTTGTAACAAATTAATTCAATAAATGGCGGATCATTTTGTTAATGGAGATTTTTGTGTCAAGTTCAAACTTTTTTTAAGATGGGGATTGTGCTGTCAAATTGAAACTTTTTCAGTGCTGACAGTACAAGCATGTTGTTATGTCATTCATGCGGTCATTTCATTTTGAACGTGCTTCGATTAAAACAAATTATCGGCGATAATTATTGCTTTGTGTTTGTACCGCCAGCCGTTTATTAATACATGCTCAAAATGAAAAAAACAAAAAATATTGTTTATTCATATATTCATTATAAATTCATGTTAATTTTTTTTTATTATTTCACTTTATACGTAGCGAAACACGTACCGGGCCGCTAGTTTAAGTATATAATGTTTTTTTTTTGTATTGTAACTGTTATACAAATTTAAATAGTTTTTCTCTTTTCCATCCTTCTTTTTTTCTTTGAATTTTTCTATGTTAAAAATATATAAGAACAGAAATTTTGTAATTAAAAAATTTTAAAAATAACAAAACTTTGAGCCTCCCATACTAATACATACGTTAATCTATGTAAAAAGCTTAAAGTTAGTAGGTAGGATTTAAAAGATTTATTCTTTTTAAGTCATGAAATTTCTTTTTAATATGTTTAGATTTTTATTTAATACATATTTGCTAACGACTTTGATTTCACCTAGTATTTAAGATGACTCAAGTGTTATTAGATTTAGTTCTATTAGCATTCAATTAGGTAATATTACAAAAATTGTATGTATGGATATTTGTTACTTCTTCACGTAAAAACTACTGAACGGATTTTAATAAAATTTTGTATTTCAGTAGGTTACATCCTAACTTAGCATATAGTTTATTTTAGGTATGGGTTTCAGCTGTCAAAGCCTCAGGATAAAGTTTCTATTTCAATAAGTGTACAAAATTCCTGATTTGTCAGGACAAATTTGACATCTTGATTATACAGGGGGTGATCTTACTATACACACATACATACACAAGTACATACAGTGCAAACATTATATCATATTAAACTATCAGCGCGCTGTCAGTCCGTCATTTGGGAGTTATTACGAGGGTCGACAATCTACTGTGGAGGATCTTATGTCTTATTACTGAACCCTGCTCGTTTATAAACACTTACCTATCTATCTTGTATATATATATATATATTTATATTGTAGATATATATTAAAGTCCTTCCTTTTAAAAGCAATAAATTTTTTAACCACTTGTTGACGTCCGAATGTGCTAAAATTTGGCATATTTATGTAAGTTCGGTAACAATACAATAATATTATAGTACCATCCAGCTGATCTAATGATGAAAACGGAAGGTGGCCATAGATGTAATTTTGTAAACTGTGCATGATAAATCAGTCATGTTTGGGCTCGTTTAATTGTATTAATAAAAAATGTAACCCTGTATTTATTTATTTATATATTTTCCAGAATCTGATGATGTACATCGAATATTTGTTATTAAAAATATTTTTATGATAATTTATCGTATAATATAAGCACCTTATTAAATGGTTCTATAGTTTAAATTAGTAATTGAAAAATAAAGTTTAAAAGAAATTTTTAGATCATTAAAGTGGATAATTATTTAAAATTTAGTAAAATATTTTATTTTTAAATTGATCTATAATTATCACAGTATCTATAGATTTTAGTTCAGACTGTTGTTGTATTGTATTTCAGAAATTTTTAAAATCGTAAAAAAACAAATTCAGCTAATTACATATTGAATGAAATAGATTTTGGACTGCCATCAAACCATTACTAGATAAACTATTATTGATACAGATTCGCTCCTAAATTTGTCCGGTCCTTTAGCGACATTAAAAAGCATTTATCGAGGCGGTTGGTAGAGGCGATCATTTTTGGATTATAGCTGCCCTCGCAGATAGAGGAATTAATTTAGGAAAGCACCGCGTCCAGACCGATATATTTTGATCTGTGTCATTTTAAAGCACATCATCCGATCTCCTTTATTTTCTACCGCCTTCCACTGTATTGGGGGGCTCCTATTAGTTTGGACGGCTGATACTGGACGTTCTTTGAGGGATTATGAACGGTACAGCATGTTTGAATGGGGATGAGAATGTTTTTGCGTAATTAGTGGCGGGGGCTTTCTTGCTATAAGTGGTACTTACGAACAAAGTGTACTTATTATAGTCCACCATGTTGGGGGCAATAAACATTAACGTCCAAAATACATTGTATGTAATTTCTTAGAGGATACTTATTTGTCTAACGTGTAATGGTTACTTTGTTGTGGAGTAGCTGAGAAATTAATTTCGACTTTGTGTTTAGAGTAGAAGGGTATAAAATGAAAATATTAGACTCATTTATAGTCGATATCGGGAAAATTTTGTGGAGTTATGAAAAAAGGAGGTTTTTTACATTTCTACCAAATTTTCGACGTGGAAACCGCTGACAATGTAAAAATTCCAATAGCAGATATTAAAAATAGGGGTGCGCAACACAATAGAGAGCCGTGGTACGGATATCATTCAAAAAGTGATGGGAAATGGAAAAATCAAAATTCTGATTCGCCATTCAAATTTGGAGATAACGTCCCGTCGAGGGGACCGCGATCATAGAATGAAATGTATCATTAATAATTATATTTTTAAGATTAAAAATTTATTATTTATATTTGTTATATCTATTTATTCTTATTAATATTGTAAATGTGAAAGTGAGTTTATTTGTTTATTATCTATGAAGTTTGGTATACACGTACTATATGGGATGGAGACGGATATACTTTTATCCTTGTCAATAAAAATATCCCGGTCACGCGAACGAAGTCGCGGATAAAAGCTAGTTAATTATAAAACTAAATAAGGCGAGCTTAGCCGTTGCCAAGGAAATTTGACAGTAATATACTTGTTATAAATAGTCTATTTATTTTTCAATGATTTTTGATAGAACATCCCTCTAATTTTTTTCTTTCTTTAATAAACCTATTACATATTATACACAGCTTTTTTTTTTAATAGATGATAACGGAATGGCGACCCGGTCTGTACTATAGATGTATACTGGCGGGGTACTAATGAGGTTTGATAGGTAAGAATGGAGTCAGGTTAGTTGACTAATTAATCAAGAATTAACCACTATGGTTTCAAGGAATGCGGGGAGGTAAGACTCATAGTGTATGTTACTATTTTTTTTATACAACTTGAAATGGCAAACAAGCTGACGGTCCACCTGATGGAAAGTGGTTACCGTCGCCTACAGACATGAGCAGTACCATGGACATAACAGAGTATACTGTTTCGCCCATGATACCTCCCATGAGTTGCCATTCCTGAGGACTCAGGTGTTATTCCTCTGTACCCAGTAATATCACGCAATAAGGCCGATAGTCCCTTTTTTATAACACTAAATAAATATATATAAAGTAAATAAGCACACGGCCCACCCAATGGTAAGCTGTTACAGTTGCCTATGGGCGCCTGCAATACTAGGAGCATTATGTTTTGTTGTCGATTTTAAAGAAAATTCTTTATCCCATTTGTTAGTAACTCGGGCTAATTCTAGCAGTATAACCTGTCAGGTCAACTTCCACGTGGTTCCCCCTGGAAACCATCGTGCTGAATTCTAGGTTTATTCATCACGAAGGGCTGACTGAACTGCCTTTTTATTTTCACCTATTCCCGCTCACTGGTAAGGTACCAGTGAGCGGGAATAGCTAGTACATACCGTTAGTATAGGCGGAGTTACCATTTTATTATCATCTATTAAAAAAACTTCTTTACTCAGTTCTGAAGAAATCTATGCTGTAGTCTCATATCTAACAATAGTAGTAGTAAAAGTCAGTTGCTTGGGTACCTCTGTCCCATTCGTGTTTCAACCGTAAAGCAGTTGTGTTTGCATGGCTGTATTTCGGTTTGAAGGGTGGGATATGGCGTGAAATTACTGGGTACAGAGGAATAACACCTGAGTCCTCAGGAGTGGCAACGCATGGGGGGTATCATTGGCTAAACAGTATACTCTATTGTATCCATGGTACTGCTCATGTCTATAGGCGACGGTTACCACTTTTCATCAAGTGGGCCGTCAGCATGTTTGCCATTCTAAGTTGTATAAAAAAAAACAAAAAAAAATCTTCCTTCCCTATTTTCCTCCGCCAGTAGCAGGTAAATACAATGGAAAGACTGCGATTGAGTGAACATATCATATATAAGTCCTCCCTTGTATACAACATCTTTTATAAGTAAGCAATATATACTTTGTGAATCGTATGATAAAGATTTTCAGACAAACAAACCCAACTGGGGGAGAACAATACCGGACTATATAATGAAATACTCTGAATATTTGCATTCGGCTTCTATATAAGTCCAACAATGTTGACCCACGGTGTCTTATATGTATTTGATAAATATAATTATGTACAAGTATCATTTTATATTGGACTTCGATTACAGAAGAAAATAATTTATAAATAGAATTTTTAGAAAATGTTCAGTGTATAAGAAAGAGAATTTAATAACGTTTGTATGGATGCGATATTGTTGAAAATAAACAGAGGGCCTACCATGAAGTATTTTCCGAAATTTCGGGGATGAACGAAACAGAAATTTGATGTTAAATTTACATAATTTACATGCTGTTTAAAATTATTAAAAATGTTAAAATATCGTTCCTTTGGACTATTAGAATAGGATTTATTATGAACGAAATGCTAAGCTCCATTTACTGGGTCTATTTCGATACGAACAAAAACACGAAATTGAGCCCGAAATTTCGGAATTTCATTTCATGGTAGACCACCAGTATCCAACGGAAAACGAAAATTTTACGTTGCGGGCACAGTAGCTAGATAATAAATAGACCTACCTCCAGTGCGGAAGACAGCGATGCCTTCTCCTGCTTCAGAGTTTCCACGCGGGTCTTGTACTGCAACAACGATCGCACTGTCTCCTCCATTCTGAAACAAAAAGACAGAGATGGTCAATACATATTAGCGTAAATAAAAATAATAAAATTGTAACTATGAGTATAACGATTTCTATACATGGAAGATATTGAAGAAAAATGAGTGGATTTAATAAAATCAATAAATGCCAAAACATAATATTTTATAAATTTTGTCTTTCTGCCTGTATATTTGTTCCGGCATCAAATAAAAAATACTACATCAAATTGAATGGAGTTTTCAGAGTTGTTTTCCTGAAAGTCTAACTTAAAAAGTGGTAGTTTATATATATGTATATATGTTTTGTCTTGATATGCCATCTACAAATGCTATATTTAATTGGGTTTCCTTCTGATATCAACCCGTACGAAGTAGCGGACAAAAAGCTAGTTGTAAACACATGTGTGTATGAATTAATTCTAGGGCTTCATTTGACTATTTCCTAATGCTAATTGGGAGAGAACGTTTTTAGCATTTCCATCCTCCTTGTACACGATATTTAATTAATAATAAATAAATAAATGCCTCTTAGTTTGCTAAAAAAAGATCACGAAAATGTGCACGGTACGTAAAGGTAACGAGCATATATTACGCTGCTGTCATTAAATCATACATTCTGCCTGATGTAAAACATTAAGATCAATCAAATCAGCTCTTAATCCATCCACGTGTGTGCCAAATTTTATTTATTTTTTTTTATTTTTATTTAATAAGGTTCACATACAACTTTTACATTTTACATGCAACTTAATAATACAAAAAATAATTTTGCCTAATGTAAAAGTCTTTTACAGGCGAACACCACATGCACTATTATAATATTTAATAAATTATTAACAATGACAATAAGATTATCTGAATAATAAGTAGATTAAGAACTTATGTCTAAGATTTTCCTCAATAAGCTATCTGCTGTTGATGGGTCCAAAATTGATGTCAATTTGATCGCTGTGAGCATTCAGAATCCTACATAATCTGGGTACAGGCGAGTTGGCTCCTAACATTGTTTTTCTTAATGGAGAACATCATGATGATAAAGAAATACAATATACAATATATATTATTATATTTATTAGTAAGATAGGATCACTGTCTCTGATTTGGGTGCTTTGTCTTCTTATAAGTGTATCTGTTATTTAAATACACTATCCTCGTGACCACAACGTGGTGGAATCCACGATCTTTACGAATATTAAGATCCATTTGAATCGATGTCTAACACACTTGACGGTATCAGAAATTATAATATTATACAAAACTGATTAATTTAGACAAAGTTAATGTTAACTTAAAATTAGAAACTATTAGATTTTTTTTTAAGATATCAGTTACCAGAGGGAGACTTTGTACAAAAGTCGATTGCTTGGGTACCTCTGTTCCATTCGTATTTCTACCGTGAAGCAGTTGTGTTTGCATGGCTGTGTTTCGGTTTGAAGGGTGGGATATGGCGTGAATTTACTGGGTACAGAGGAATAACACCTGAGTCCTCAGGTATGGCAATGCATGGGGGGTATCATGGGCGAAACAGTATACTCTGTTATGTCCATGGTACTGCTCATGTCTATAGGCGATGGTTACCACTTTCCATCAGGTGGGCCGTTAGCTTGTTTGCCATTCTAAGTTGTATAAAAAAAAAAGTTAAACACTACGCTTGTCACTCTCAAAATACACACTTCCGTATTTTATCAGTAAGATAACTTATGTGCAAGATAATCCATCAGTTAACTTCAGTGTACGGTACACTGCCGGGGGAGCGCGTGACGTGCATAGCAGATAGCTCGTAGTGTCAGTTTCACTTACTTCGAACATTGGTGCCGTTAAGGATTTTAGTGGGGGTTTAGTACGTAGTAGGTTTAACGATATTTCCCGTAGTTTGACTTGGGGGCGCTCTCGTTGAAGTTAATGTAACTATCAAATACTGTACAAGTTTAGAATAACTTCACAGGGCTATCGGGGTGATATTTTAATATTTTTCGTTTATACTAATGTTATAAAAAGAAAATATTTTATTTCTTGTTTGTAATGATTAACGCAAAAAATACTGAATTGATTTAAAAAAAATCTTTCTCATAGGAGAAAGCTACATTATCAGCGAATAATATACATATATTATATACTATACATAGTTATGCCCATGGTATTGTTCATGTCTATAGGCGACGGTTACCACTTTCCATCAGGTGGACCGTCAGCTTGTATGCCATTCTAAGTTGTATAATAAAAAATATATTATTTTCAAAAATTTTATCTACCTGAGCAAAGCCGGGCTGGATCACTAGTTTCTGTATAATTTGAACAGAGTAATAATTATGTACGTCCTTATAACCTTATATACATAATCTTATTTAATTCAGCTATATAAATAATGTCATATACTCGTATATCGGTACAGGAGACTTGACTTCTACTTCAGACGAGCAAGTCAAGTTTATTAGTAGCTTTCAGTTTTCTTTTGTGTAACCGGGATATAGTAACTGACTGAGATAAGTTAATAAGATAAGATCCTTTTCCAGTCCATATAGAACACGTAAACCAAATTTCATAGTGATTGGATCAGCCGTCAAGACGCTAAAAAGTAACAGACTTATTTCGTAAACTAAGTAGCTTTTTTTGCCATCTGAACGCAAGGATATTTCTTTGAATAGTGAAGAATGGGTTACTGTCAAGCGAAAACACCCGGAAAGAGCATCCAGCGGCACTTCATTATGCAGATGGATCAAACCAGAGTAATCTCTAGACGCGGATTTGCATTTTCTGAGCTGGAGCGAGATAGATGCCTAGGGTTGTCAATTGATAATTTGCGTCTAAAAATTGATATTATTTTTTCGAAATTTCAAAGTTAAAATAATCCGATACTATTATTAAACATTTATTAATATACTAGCTATGTACTGCGGTTTTATCTACGCAAATAATTAATTAACCTACGTTAATGTGGGCGTTGGTTCTATAAGTTATTTAATTCTTAATTCTGTAAGTGTAATTGATTAATAAATATATACATATAAAATATTTTTTACAATCGTTCACATTTTAAATATCATATTAATATTAATTAAATAATAATAATAATAGCCGATTAACGACTAAAAAGATTATCAAGAATGTAAATAAAATACCTACTTTTAAAGAAAGATATAAATAAAGTTAAACGGTTTGTATTTTATATCGCGAAGTCAGAATTTTTTCTCAATTATAATATAATTTAATTAAAGAATAAATTTATTTGTGTCATATACCACACAATATCACAAGATGTCTGGTACATTGTCAACTGAATCTATCTAAAACGGTCTTCGTTATTTTGTAATTAATACATGGATAAACAGATAAACTGATAATTAAAAAATATTTAAGTGACAACCCTATTTTACAATCTGCGTATTAGAAGAAGACGGCAAGTAGTGGAGTGCACTCATTCTCAGCCACTTCATTAGTGACTGACATCCGCAGCTTTTCGTACTTGCTATGTTGAGTTGTGAGTTTACCATTGATTTTTTTTTATTAAAAACTTATTTCTATAAAACTTATTAGCTTTATCAGTACATAAAGTATCCTATGTACTAAATTTGAATATAAGTTAGCTGTGTACCAATTTGCATTCTTTGTTGAGTAATGTTTATGTGAAACAATATTAAGAAACATACATGCATCCATCCATTAATCCAAGCGTTGCAACTACTGGCAAAACCCGCCCTATAGGGAAGCCTATAACTTTAATTACTACCTACTCTATATTTACTGGGGGGAAAGGGATTGTTAGCAATGGAGTTTGACAGCCCCATTGTTAGCAATATGCCCTATTAGGTCGACCTCCGCGTGGTTCCCCCTGGAAACCATCGTGAACAATTCTTATTGAATTCGTCACGATGTGCTAACTGACCTGCTTTGTCCTCACCTATCATCGTTCACTGGTGCCCCGCCGGTGTATACCGTTAGCGCGGGTGGGGTTACCATACCATTATCACCCATTAAAAACAACTCTATATTTACTTATTATTATGTAAACTTTGAAAAATTTTGTTTTATACAGATAATCATCATCATCATCATCATATCAAAAAACATAGACCATTCACTTGGGAGATTTTGCCAGTAGTTGCTACGCTTAGCAACCATGGTAAGGTTTTGTAATGTTGTTTTAAGAGGAACGCTGTTTATCTCTTGATCATTAAATTCCCTTAATCACCTATAACACCCATGGTAAAGGAAACGGTGGCCCATTCTATACCGGGAGTACATTACATACATTATATACATTCTATTCTATACCACATAACGATACACGGGGTTCTTCAAAAGGGGGGTAAAAAGGTTTCTTCAGGGTCAGCAACGCGCACGTAATACTTCTGGTATTGCAGGCGTTCATAGGCTACGGTAACCGCTTACCATCAGGTGGACCGTATGCTTGTTTGCCACCACAGTGGTATAAAAAAAACAGATAATTTTAGTTACTAACAGAATTTTGTTAATAAAACCATTTTTCCACGAAACTAGGCATTATTACTTAATCCCTCCTATTAAAGAGACCGGAGTCTCATCTTAGGCTTAATTCGTTCATCAAAAGGACTTTTTCGCTGGCTTACAAGATCATTTTGGGAACAGAAACCGGTGGTATATAATCATTTCTCCCTCTTTTAATTACTAATTATTAATACACCGCCAAGAGACCGGATTAAGTTATTAACAAATGTAATAAGATTTGTATTTTTTATTATATTACTTGTTGACTCGCTGCTGAACGTAGGCCACTTCCATAAGGGTGTTTTTCAGTAGTTTTGCCAGACTTTGACAAAGACAGAGACTTTGTACAAAAGTCGATTGCTTGGGTACCTCTGTCCCATTCGTGTTTCAACCATGAAGCAGTTGTGTTTGCATGGCTGTGTTTCGGTTTGAAGGGTGGAATATGGCGTGAATTTACTGGGTACAGAGGAATAACACCTGAGTCCTCAGGAATGGCAACGCATGGGGGGTATCATGGGCGAAACAGTATACTCTGTTATGTCCATGGT